GTTCCTTCCCCTCTGTGAAGTCAACTAATGGGCTAATGATAACTATCAGAACGCCTGCCATTTGATATCAATATACGTATATATATATATATATATATATATATATATATATATATATATATATATATATATATATATTAACACTACGGCATGGAAAATTGGTACTGTAAAAATTTTGGATACTAAACAATGCTCATTGTGGTACCACTGAAATACGGTTGGGGAAACTGCTTTAAGAATTCTAATTTAGTTAAGTTTTTGAGGTACCTCCTTACAAAACGAATGCTCTTTACGAGATTCGTTAGTAAATACTTATTTTTCCAAAATCAGAATTCTAAAGGGGGTACGGAAGGTGGAGAGACATTTATCCACGGGTGTGGAATGTGTGAGAAAGTAGGTTGTTTGCGGAATTCAATTTCGGACGAGCGCTTAAACGGATTCAATGAAAATGAATTGACTATTTTGTGTTCTCTTTTGTTGCATGAGTTGGCAATGGAAACGTGAGGTTAAAGTTAGGGCAGGCAAATAAGTGCGTTTAACGCGCCAATTTCTTCATCTTTAATGATCGTTTATTGGCAGTTTTATGTTTGTTTAAAGTATACTCTAATTTAATGCAATTCATTGGTATCAAAGCACGGAAGGTACTTCACGATTTCTAGTTCATAGGAAATTTATTTATTTCAAACGGCAGGCGTTTTGATAGTTATCATTAGCCATTTAGCTGACTTCAGGCTTCACAGAGAGGAGGAGGAACATCAAAGTGACAAAAAGTCGAGAGTGGGGACAGAATAATGATTCACAGATGTGACAGAGACAGACAAAAGAGCATAGAAAAGGTAAGATGAGTACTGTGAATGGGTTGAATATGGCATACAGTGGGGGTAGTTTGAAGTCAGAAGTCAACTGCCGGTTAATAGACTTTTTTGCCGTTTGAGTATACGTTGCCTAGGGTGCACCACGTGGAGGTAAGTCTATCGCACACTCCATTCATAGGAAATATATTTAAGTGATCAGTGAAAACGAGGTAGGCGACAAGTAATTCATCAAGAACATCAAGAGATTATTCACTGGAAATATTAGACATATTTTATCGTATAGGCATGTCAGTCCTATAGTGATATAATTTCGATGTCTGTAGTCAGCTCATAGTCTCGCGAATACTGAAGTGTCAAAGACCCTCGGTTTACACTTTAAGAAGGTAAAATAACTCGCTCCATCAAAATGGACTAGCGTTTCAAGAGAAGTTCGGACATATGGTTAAAATTACTTATTTTGCTGAATCGTCCTCGCTTGTTCACTAAAAATCGTTTCCACTATCGCCCCCCCCCCTCTTGATGTTAACATGCTTGTCTTACACTTGCATTTTCGTGTTTTTTATAAGCCTGAATAGTAATCAAGTCGTCATATTTCACTGTTTATTTAACTGCCATGAGAAGGTTTTAAAATAATAAGGGGAAAAAACTTTTAACTATTCATCTACTAAATGGAGTTGTGTTCAACTAGAATGGACTTGAATTGCTGTTTTTTACTCTCTCATCCAGGGCAGTCGCTTGGACATGTAAATAGCGGTAATGCGTGCACTGGCTGCTGTCAAAATGAGTCGGAAAATCGCTTATTGGGCAGGCATTTCAGTGACCAATCAAATTCCGCCGATCGTAGTCCCCCACCAATCCCGCCACACAAAGTGTCCCAGGACAACTCTTCACTAGAAGAGGCAAGATCTTTCTTTTCTCCTTTAGTTCAAATGCCTATTGTGTACTAATGTGGTTTTGTTCATTTAAACCAGGGCGGGGGGGGGGGGGGGTAGGTTACATTAAAGGTACGACTTGAACAGATGTTTTTGACCTTCCAATGCGGTATATACTGAGGGGAAGAAATAGGGTGAATTATTGATCAGAATACTTTACCCGCACTAATCGATTATGTTGTGACAATTTCAGATTTCAAGTTGGTTGCTTTATTACAGCTTTAGCTATTTTTAAATATAGTTCTGGTCATTGTACAGAGGCCATAATATTCATATCCAGGTTATCAAATCACGTTATTTGCATGAAAATTCTGTCCGTATTTGGTTCAGCATGTCTTTGTTTTCGGCTTAAGTAAATAACATGACGAAGCCCTTTGCATGTTTTGCTGAGGAGAATTAAACAAAAATCAAGTAGGTTATGTCGCTACCAAGTGATACAATTTTTGAAATTCGCAATTATTTGCCTATCATTATTCTCAGTCTTAGTGTTAAGTCTTTACCATTGAACACTTCAAGGCTCATAAATAGGCTTGTGTCCAATTTATTCAGTTTCTAGTGGTGGTTCGATGTATGTTATGCTTGATCATGTCATTTCCGTTTGCAGATAGGCCAATTTAACACAGGGTAGCTCGCTACTGTTCACACAATATTGAACTCGGTGTATATTTTATCAATTCCCTTTTTACGAGGAAATATCAAATTGGCTTCTTCAGATAAAAGATTTGTCCAGCAATAAAAATAGTTCGTTTTTTCAAATGGCAGGCGTTTTGATGGTCGTCATTAGCCCTTTAGTTGACTTCAGGCTTTACAGAGGGAAGGAACATCAAAGTGAGAAAAAGTCGAGAGGGGGGATGGAACAGAAGAGTGTTTCAAAGACGAAGGTAGAAAAAAAGATGATGTGAGTACTGTGAAAGAAGTCGAATATGACATAAAGTGGGGTGATGGTAGTTTAAAGTGAGAAGTCAACTGCCGGTTAATAGACTTTTTGCCGCATGAGTATACGTTGCCCAGGGTGCACCTCGTGGAGGTAAGTCTATCACACACCCCAAAAATAGTTCATAAGAACATAAGATGTTTGGGGTACATTTTGCAGAATTACATTTGGTTGTGTTTACCATATGTGTCATAGGCATTCTCGCACACTCTGTGCTTCCTCTATACTGGTAAAGTCACCGTGTGTGCTATATGCGCGATGACAACGAGAATTGTTGGCACCAACCCACCTAAATCATGGAGGAGAATAATTTGTACCATAATAATTCTCAAAGCCCACTCAAAACCATAAACACAAAGTTGAGAATTGCAGTGCAGCAGACTACGAGGCTTCTATTTCTACAATAAAACAACATATCAGACCAATAGATCTCATGCAAAGAAGTGACATTAGAATTTAGGCTTCTGCACAACGCATAATTGCATTTTAAAGTCCCTTCCATTAAATTTGTATTACCGACAATCCCCCTGCCCCCTCCGTGGCGGTTGAAAGGAAAATTCCATTTCATGAAACTATTTTGTGGGGATAGTCTAGCTTCAGTCTCCAATAGAGAAAAGCTGTAAGATTGCATTTTAAATATTAACCCCAGATAAGTGCCGTCTTGGGCTCTTATTCGAATGAGCGAACTTTCGGAAAGCCTCGCCGGTACTCCACGCAGGTGTCACGGAGGTTAACGTATCAGGGTGAAGGCACATAAAAATCGTTGGACGAAGTAACTCCTGAACAAACTGAAACATCTCGTTGAAATGCAGATAATCTTTTCTTTCCCGACGAGAAATTTCCGTGCCAAGTTCAAGAGCTAAACAATTAGTTTGGCTTTCACAATCGAAAGGATAATCCTCAAATTAAGCAGACTGAATTTGTTCAACTGTCATAATTCTGCTGAGATTGATTTAGTGCCTTCCTCTATAGACTTTAAAAAGAAAGGATCTCAATATGAATTTAAATGACTACTTGAAATAAAGATGCTTTCTTCATGCAATTTCAATTTGAAAGTTTGGCGGTGAACTTACCCAGAAACGAAAATACTTAATGCTCCTCAATTTCAGAAGCAATTCGAACTTTTAAAATTGCTCGATTTGGGTTTAATGCCAGCTTTTGTCAACTATTCAAGCAATTAAAGAAGCATTTCAGTCCACTTTGGATTTTTTCTTATTTACTAATTAATTATTATTGGGTCGTTCATATGCACATGTCGTTTGCGGAATTTGTTCAGCTTATTGTATTAACATCTGCCACACTGCACGGGGAAGTGATTTAAGCTGCAATTGGTAATTCAGCTCAATAACCAAATAAAATTCCTCCATTTGCTAAATTAGAATATTCTATCACTAACATTTATTTATATCAAATGGCAGGCGTTTTGATGGTTATCATTAGCCCTTTAAATGACTTTAGTCTTCACAGAGGGGGAAGGAACATCAAAGTGAAAAAAGTCGAGAGGGGGGGGGGGACAGAAGAGTGTTTCAAAGACGAAGGTAGAAAAGGTAGGAAAAGGTGAGGTAAGTACTGCGGAAGTAGTCGAATATGACATACAGTGGGGTCATGGCAGTTTGAAGTCAGAAGTCAACTGCCAGTTAATAGACTTTTTTGCCGTATGTGTATACGTTGCCCAGGGTGCACCACGTGGAGGTAAGTCTATCGCATACCCCCCTCTTTCACTAACATATTGATATCTGATTCTCGAGTTGTGGCAAAAAGTGTAAATACGCTAATCTTTGCCAAAAATACAGTAGTATTGTGTGAAGATCCGATTTATTTACCGTTCTTTTTAAATAAAGAGAATATATGAGTGATTAAATTTCAATCAGACGCTATAATAAACGCTTCTTTATGTTCCATATGTTCAATGAATTTTGAGCATATGGAAGCCTGGGTATTACTACTTACTCCCTATTACTTCCTAATTGAAGTCACTGCTGTTATCTCGGAAAACTAGGAAAGGGATTGGTAATTAAAAATAACATTAAGCAGCTCCTTACACTGATTGGTTATATCATTAATTGAATACCAATAAACTAAGCAATGTTCCTTTTTACCTCTAATGTATACACTAATTTGGTTGGAAATCCATTTTCAAAATCAAACTAAGTTATTTAGGTGCAGAATCAGAAATGCTTTGAACATTTTAANGTGGAAAAAGTCCTTGGCTCTCTACATTTTTCAACAGCGCCAATAATTGTATGTTATTGAATCTTCCCCCAGTTATTTAAAATAGCACTAGTCACAAATGTAAAACCACTTTATGCCCCTCAGACCATGTTCGGCCAAGTGATGTATATCTTTTTGAAAAGCCAACAGGTAAAATCAGGGTTCTATGACGGGGTTAACTGACTTCGCCCCTCCCCCCTTGTTCACTGATTTGCAACCAATGGGGAATGATCCCTTGTGAGGTTATGAATTAATGTGGTAGCATCCTGCATGGCGCTTCCTGTTATAGTCACTGCAATTGTTTATTCTGATTTATGTGCGCAAACAGATGAGCACTGAATGTTTAATTTCAGTCGAAAAAAAACGTTTCATCATCGGTGCTTTTTACTTAAATATTTATTTATATCAAATGGCAGGCTTTATGATAGTTATCATTAGCCCTTTAGTTGACTTCAGGCTTCAGAGAGGGGAAGGAACATCAAATCGAAAAAAAGTCGAGAGGGGAGGGTGAACAGAAGAGTGTTTTAAAGATGTAAAAGAGACAGACACAAGGGTAGAAAAAAGGTGAGGTGAACATTGTGGAAGAAGTCGACAATGGCATATAGTGGGGTGATGGTAGTTTGAAGTGAGAAGTCAACTGCCGGTTGATAGACTTTTTTGCCGCATGGGTATACATTGCCCAGGGTGCACCATGTGGAGGTAAGTCTATCGCACACCCCTTTTTACTTAAATTGTTATCAATAAATTTCTCTTAAATAATGAATATGCTCCCTATTGGAGCCTAATTAAATCGATGTAGTACCTTTTACGGCGTTAAAATATCTATATTTCGGAATGTCCTGCTTATTCAACGTATTGATATATCCTCCCTTGTAGGTAAAGAGATGCCGAAAGTCTGCTTCGACCCAATCGGATAACTCGACGACAAGCAGTTTTCTCGAAGAAGGTATACGGAATATCTCTCTCTATGCCGATGATGAAACCGACGAATCCCATAGTTATCAGCCCCTAACTTCTCAGTCGTCTCGAGTAAGTTGAATATACGATTTATTTACTCGAACATCAGGTTAATTCAAAATGTGACATTGGCATTTAGGAGAGAGGAGTCTGATTGAATGGGAAAATAGGGCGTTTAAAATAGGAAAGTAAACTGAGGCTAATTATTATCTTATGTATTCGAGAATTTAATTTAATTATTACTCTACTGAAATACAGAATAGGATTGTACATGGCAATCAGTGCAACCGCATCCTTTAAATTAAACTATTTTGCAAGCTATTAATTTCTAAGCTTTGGAAGAATCGCAAGAAGACAGACTTGTCGTCACCACAAGATTTCCAATTACGTATTTTGGTAATTGTTCCCACAGACGACTCGTTCTGTGATTTGGCGATGTGGGAGTACACGAATAGCCATGCACAATAAACCCACCCATTAATGATGATGGATATCGTTATGTCGTGACCTACAGTGATAAAGCCATGGAAACCTTATGTTCAGGCCGCTGTCATGCAATTAATATTACACACTTTATGCAAGCCATTATATAGTTGATAAGCTATCAAATCTACGCTTACGATTTGGATTTCGCGTGCATGACACTTCCAAGCACTACAGTAACACGTAACTGTATGAGACCTAACTTAGTGAGTTTAAGACACATTAAACTAAGGTAATACGTTTAACCAGTTGGGCTCATGCACTAGTGATTTGGGCGGTCATGACGTGCCAACAGCAATCAATTCTATGAGTTTACCAACTTTACAAGGTGTTTAGGTAAGTAACTTCATAACATTGTACTGTTTACCACTGCATTAGCAAATTATCGGTAAATCTAACTTTAATCTTATTCTAACATTTTCACGTAAAAATTGAGCCGATTTCAGACGTCATAACTGGTTACTGTGGCAAAGTTATTAATATTTTATTACTTTGAGAGATGCATGTATATTTTATTAACTGCGCTCTAGTTATGCAGTGCATGCGAGAGTTCTGTTTCTGACGAGATTAAACGATATGTATATCAATCCAATATTTACCATTTAAAGGTGATAAATTGTACTACATATTCAGAACTTTGATTTGTTTTATTTATCTCTGGTAAATGACACTTTGATGGTCAACTTTACTTGAGTATTCTAAACCAATTTCGCTTTTAAGACTACTTCTATCTTCAAATCATTTAACTTTGATTGAAAATCAACGTCTTTGTCTAACAGTATCTTAATACTTGACGTCATTAAACACTGTACTTTGATACTACTAGAAGATTTGATTCCTCATAAAGTCAGTGGTCATTGGTTCAGTAGTCTTCAATGAAAATTCATTACATTCATCCACTATATTGACCAAGGTGCATCCTGAACATGATTTTCCCCGCTGGGTCTTCATTGCTTAATTTTATGACCCAACATTTTATGAAGCGTACTTACTGTACCTTTCATTTTCCTTTTTCCACAAGATCATCCACCGGATTGGAGAGCAATGCTATCTTGGCAAATTACTCATTTTCTTAAATTATTTATATCTAATGGCGGGTCTTTATGATAGACTTCGAGATTCTCCGAGAGGAGGATCATCAAAGTCTAAAAGGTCGAGGAGGGGGAGGGAGGGAAGTAGAGTGATTTACAGGTGTAAACAAGCTAGACACAGAGGTGGAGAAAAAGATAAGGTAAGGCGAGCACCGCGCAGCAACCGGTAACTCACAAGGGAGTCTTCCCCCCCCCATTCTCCATGTGTCAGCTTCATGAAATTTCTTGAAAAAAGAATAGCGTAAACAGATGAACTGGTTCCGGTTATCCTTGATAGTGGAAAGTGAACCTTGCAGCGTTTATTCAAGACCACTTGAGGATACACGATGTTTTTTCTAACGGGGAAATTGAGGTTGCAGGAGGGTCAAGCACTTCAAGTACCATCGTGAGTTCCGGCTAATTAAGTCTCAGAGACTAGTGATGACCTAGATAATAATCTTGGAAACGCATTGGGATTCATTCTACAAAATTAAGCATTTTGTTTTTCTTGTAAAAATAACGCTACAATTGATACATTTCTTACATATTGCAAGTATTGGCATATAGATTGTGTTTAGGCAGGTAGATTCATTCTTCTAACCCTAAGCCTTAGACGATTATAATGCAGTGCTCCACTCGCAATTTACAATTGCCCAAATTGAAAGCTCATCATTTGGACGTAGATGAACCAATTCATTATTATCAAGGTCGAAAAGTTGTTAAAATAAAGTGTTATGCTTGGTATGAAAGTATTAATAAAATGAAATAACACACACATATATATATTATTTCAAATTACAGGCGTTTTGATAGTTATCATTAGCCCTTTGGCTGACTTCGGGGCTCACAGAGGGGAGGAACATCAAAGTGAGAAAAATTCGAGAGGGGGAAGAGAAGAGTGATTCACAGAGGTAGAAGAGACAGACAGACACAATGGTAGAGAAAAGGTGAGGTGAGTACTGTGAAAGTGGTCGAATATGACATACAGTGGGGTGATGGTAGTTTGAAGTCAGAAGTCAACTGTTTGGGGGTCGTGGTAGTTTGAAGTCAGAAGTCAACTGCAGGTTAATAGACTTTTTTGCCGTATGAGTATACGTTGCCCATAGTGCACCACGTGGAGGTAAGTCTATCGCACACCCATCTCACTAGTTAATAGACTTTTTTGCCGTATGAGTATACGTTGCCCAGCGGTTTATAGACTTTTTGCCGTATGAGGTCTGTTGCCCAAATATGACATACAGTGGGGTCATGGTAGTTTGAAGTCAGAGGTCAACTGCCGGTTTATAGACTTTTTGCCGTGTTAGGGTTAGATCAACTGCCGGTTTATAGACTTTTTTGCCGTATGCGCATACACAATGACATACAGTGGGGTGATGGTAGTTTGAAGTGAGAAGTTGTGACATATAGTGGGGTGAGGGTAGTTTGAAGTCAGAAGTCCACTGCCGGTTTATAGACTTTTTGCCGTATGAGTATACTTTGTAACATACAGTGGGGTCATGGTAGTTTGAAGTCAGAAGTCAAGGCATACAGTGGGGTCATGGTAGTTTGAAGTCAGTGGTCAACTATACAGTGGGGTGATGGTAGTTTGAAGTGAGAAGTCAACTACCAGTCAATAGACTTTTTTCCGCATAAGTATACGTTGCCCAGGGTGCACCACATGGAGGTTGTAAGTACACGTTGCCCAGGGTGCACCACGTGGAGGTAGCCGTATGGGTCTGTTGCCCAAATATGACATACAGTGGGGTCATGGTAGTTTGAAGTCAGAGGTCAACTGCCGGTTTATAGACTTTTTGCCGTGTTAGGGTTAGATCAACTGCCGGTTTATAGACTTTTTTGCCGTATGCGCATACACAATGACATACAGTGGGGTGATGGTAGTTTGAAGTGAGAAGTTGTGACATATAGTGGGGTGAGGGTAGTTTGAAGTCAGAAGTCCACTGCCGGTTTATAGACTTTTTGCCGTATGAGTATACTTTGTAACATACAGTGGGGTCATGGTAGTTTGAAGTCAGAAGTCAAGATGTCAACTGCCGATTAATAGACTTTTTTGCCGTATGAGTATACGTTGCCCAGGGATGTCAACTGCCGATTAATAGACTTTTTTGCCGTATGAGAAGTGATAAGTCAACTGCCGGTTAATAGACTTTTTTGCCGTATGAGTGGGTTGCCCAGGGTGCACCGCGTGGAGGTAAGTCTATCGCAACAACTGCCGGTTAATAGACTTTTTTGCCGTATGAGTATACGGTGCCCAGGGTGCACCACGTGGAGGTAAGTCTAAATATACATTGCCCAGGGTGCACCACGGAGGTAAGCCGAATGAGAATACGTTGCCCAGGGTGCACCACGTGGAGGTAAGGTGTAGTATACATTGCCCAGGGTGCGCCACGTGGAGGTAAGACCGTATGATTATACGTTGGCCAGGGTGCACCACGTGGAGGTACCTTTTGCCGTATGAGTATACGTTGCCCAAGGTGCACCACGTGGAGGTAATTCTATCACCCACCCCATAAATATATATATATAATTGCTTTTGTGAACCGTAAATTATTTCTTATTCAATATAAATCCTCTGTTATGCATTGGTTATAAACTTCGTATTTTCACGCAGCTATCGATATAGCTGCACATTGTTGGAAGTGTGGCCTAAATAACTTTTTCTACTGGGGAACAACATGCGCAGATAGGGCGATGTGGAACAAATAAGCACATATGATAAAAAGATTGACGAAAATGGTGCAGAAGAGAAAAGAAAAAATCACCTCTCCATATGGACGTTCTCCTTGCTCGGAAAATGGACCTTGTAGTTCGAGCTTCTCGTTAGCCTACTATTTGCCTTCGCTATTTTGTTTGGTCTTGCAGTTTCTGTATGAGTTTGGGAGTTTGTCAACTCAACCCATTTCCAAATCTCCATTAGCAACGTGGTGTGGTGTTTACAAGACATAATTTAATTATTTTGTTGGATAATTGTGCAAAAGAAAGAGTATTAGTGCTTTGTCAATTAAGATCCAGCAATTTTGAGCATTAAGTTGAGCTGTTACTCTATGCTTCATTATGCATTTTAGGTGCGGCCGTACGAGAACGTGCCAGATATTCTCTCGAATCTTCACGGGACGAATAAGCGACTTTCTGCGCGTTATACAGGCCTCAGTGGTCTTTTGGCCGATCCATTTACTGGAAAACATGTGTGCGTTGCCCTAGCAGGTCCTGGTGAGTTATGCGAACATTTCCTCTTGAAACCACTCACCATACTGTTCGTTGAGTACGTTGGCATCACCAAAGTGTATTACTTCTTAACCCTCTAACGCTCGAATTATTTTTTTTAAAAAAATGCGCCCAACCGCACTCACGCGTGTCCCACCAGTAGGTTGATGCCACCGACGTGAAGAGTTTTGGTTTGTATCAAGCGAAGGCTATAGACGTATTGAGCACGTTTCAAACGGTAATAGCGCCTTCTGTTACAAGTCAAGGACCAATGGATCTTATTTTGGGAGAGGACCGTATGGTCCTACGGGCATTAAAGGGTTAAGTGCGTGTCAGTGAATTCTGCCCTATTAAAATTAAATTATCTCTTGTCTTTTGAGATAATCTTGACTACTTAATGTGCCAGGCATCTAACTTAGCAAATTGATGCATAAAATCCACCTCTTGTAATCATAAATTCATCATCATCATCCTCCCTCCCTCCCCTTCCACACCCAAAACATCGTGTAATGTGGACTTTGGTACGTTAGAACCTGAAAAGTGAATTGAACGCAGGAATTTTAAAGCTGATTTCCTGATTCCCAAAATCAAGTTTTGTACGGATTTTCTATTCCTAGACTGTACGTTCCACTTCTTCTCGGTTCCACATCTCATGACCCCTCAGGGATTTCTTTATTGTTTCATGAGTTCAGTTTCTTACCCACGAGACAAATAAAAGTTGGCATCGTTTTAGTCGTGGGATCCTTCTCTGGCATCTATCACTTCTCGAAACCGATGCTAATCGAATATTCTTAGTTCCTAAAAGACGAGGGATGTCTAAATAAAATTAGCGAAGTTAAAATGGTATATTGCAAATAGGTTTCATTTAAAAATCTGCCTATTACCATTTAAATCCTCCCTGAGACGACGATTGACCTGGTAAAATGCGGGTCATTTAAATATCCGTCTTCACGATAATAATCCAAGTAAAAAAGGAATCATCGGTTTCCTAGTAATTTCCTATCTTTGACGCATCCTTGTCGCTTTAAACGCCTTATGACTTGATTACACGATAAATGTCGATCCTGTATCACCTGCTCTTATTTTTTTCGTCGCAATGACTCAATTTGCAACAAAGTTTGTTTAAAGTGATATCGTACGAGGGCCACTTGAAAAATGCCATAGGGTTGCATATTCTTCCATGATTATAAATAAAATATGGCTTTTTAAATAAGGCTTCCGTATGTTTTACCGAAACAAGATGCTATCTGCTTCAACATTGTCATAATGTCAGACATTAAGGAGTACTTTACTGCGAAATGAACATGGTGGCTGCTCGTTGATTTAATGAAGCAGCCAATAGATGGAATTTTTGAACCACAGCCTCATTATAGTAACCCATCTGCACAGATTTCGCCTCAACTGCAGGGATTGGGGGATTCCAATTAAGTTGAGGTAGTGACCTCGCCAAACCACTTGCCAACACATGAGGTCAATACGGTGTGCAAATAGCCAATGAGGTGCGATCTGAGGTATACTCAATCCCAAGCCCTTTGACGGAAATAGCCAATACGAAATGGTGGACGGTTCCTTTCACTTTTGTGTTCTTCATCAGAACTTCATTCCACCTTGACTCACGTATGAGATATCTTACATTAAATATTTATGCTGTTTAACAATGGAATGAAATGGGAAACTGCAAAAAATATATGAGCTTCCCTTTATTTTAACTCGAACTTTAGTCCATAGAATATTTGTGTAATCGGACGTATTCATTAGATGTTCGTTCGTCCATTTTAAGCTTTTTTTAAAATCTTATGGTTACTGAGCTTTTATATCTGTCTGTTAGTCTGTGTTTTGGAAGCAGACAAGTTGTCGGGTCCATTTCAAGGTTAGATTTATTCAAACCTAGAAGTGAATCTAATCGCCTGATGAATTCTTCAAAATTTGTTGACCATTTTGAGTTCGTGTTCGGTAGGTTGAAATGTGAAGTCTCTCCTTCTAAAAAGTGTCTCCTCTATTAAAATTCATTGATAAAACGTGGCATTTGGAAATGGTTATGGAGAAATCTGATCCATACTCCTATGCCAAAGTCCACATTTTGAGTTTTGCATTTATTTATATTTTGTGTAGGCCGAATTTCGTGGTTTTCAAAGCAACAAGAATCCAATCTATGTTGTGATTTCTAGTGCGTTATTGTTACCATTTTGTGCAAATTTTAACAAAATTTCATAAAGCAGCTGTTTCCAGAATTATTGACTGAAATGGACATTATTATCCATGGGAATACATGCAAAAAATGCACAAATTTTAACATGTGACAGCGTTTGGTTACACAAAATAACAACATAGTCACGTGACGCTTTAACTATAAGGCCAAAAAGGGACAAAAATGGATTTCAGGTGTTGAAGGTTTTACTACGTTTGAATTCTGGGTGTTATCCTTTTCTTAAAAGTCAGGTGTTCCAAAAGAAAACATTTTTGTTATGATTTTATCGCTGACTATGTGGGTGCATTCACGATATTCACAAATCGTTGAAATATTGGGATCGTTAGGCATGCCATATTTAATCATTTTCTTATTGTGAGCTGGGTTTCACATTTGAAGTTTGCATAAATGTGATTAATAACCTAAATAGATTATAAATACTGTTCTAAACTTAGTTTAATTCTCCAAAATTATAGCAAAAGGAGGGGGA